ATTTATGAAATATTGAAGTAGAAATGCTGATATTCTGTCTTTAATTCATTTTCCTAAGATATGAATTCTCAAATATGAAAGGCTCATAACACAAATGGAATTAACCATCCCAAATTAAATGTAATTCTTGAAAGTTATCTTACTTGACATAATGAATGTAAGATAGACAACAGCTCAGTTGGCAAATATTAGAATTATGATTTAATCAAATCACTATTGTTCTGCCTTGGATAATTGAAAATTATTTAACATATTGACTCACAAAGATTATAGTGTTCTTTCTGAAGTTATCTAGGTAACATTCTTTTAATATTATTTTCCCCAATTCATTTCCTATTTGAAAGTGCTTAATTAGTTGTTTTATTTTTTCTTGGTGCCAGTGTTATGGCTTGAACTCAGGGCTTTGGCTCTGTCTCTGAGCTTTTGTGCACAAGGCTAGCACTCTACCAGTTAAGCCACAGCTACACTTCCTGCTTTGGGGTGGTTAATTGGAGATGAAAGTCTCCCAGACTTTCCTGCCTAGGCTGGCTTCAAACTTTGATCCGCAGATCTCAGCCTCCTAAGTAGCTAGAATTATGTGTTGTGAGCCACAGATACCTAGCTCCTTAATTAGATTTTGGCATTAAAAATAGATAGCTTCATAATCATCATATTGTGGCATTTTCTCTACAGTACTAAACATACATCTGTAGTTTGACTGACTGGTAGAATGTTAACATATGAAGCATAAAAGATTTTCATTTCAAGATTTGCCAAGACATTTATAGTGAGTATCATTTATTACTATATCTAGGTAGCATGACTTGCTCATATAACTAATGCTGATGTGCTAATTAGATACAAGGATAACCTTTATAACTGTGACTGTAGATTGGGCACAAGCTGAGGGTAGACATTCAGCTATTTGGACTTCCAAAAGCTGAGAGTGAAGATCAATTTGCAGATTTGGAGCTGAATATCAAGGCCAAAGTGAAACTCTATGGAATCCTATGTATATGTGTACCTCGACACAGATGGTCCCATGATATATCATGGTTTAACTGACAGTGTTTTAATATTACAGTAGTATTAAGCAATATAGATTCAGTAGAAAACATACTTGGGATTTTGATTCTTTTCCCTGGCTAATGATAAGCAGTATGAGACTCTCAAAATACAGGCAATGATACCAAGCCACAGCTCCAGACATCCATTCACATGAGATTCTCAGTGCTTCATTAGAAACAAAGCTTTGTGCTAATAGTGTTGCCTGCATGCTTAAGTAGGCTAAGCTATGATATTCAGTAAGATACATCATACATGGAGAAGCAACTTGACATATAGAGCTGTAGGCATGTTCCCTTATCTACCCCAGCTGCCCCAAGAAATGGAGACTTGAGGTTAGGAATCAAAAATGGGAGATTCATATAATGACAATGTCATATAATGGCAATGACAGAAAGAATTTACAGTCACCATAAAGGAATGATAAACATTTGAAAAGATTGTAATGTTTACCAGGACTTGAACATTATATGTGCACATGTATAAAAAACCACATGGCACCCCATAATTTACACACTTTGTACATATCAATAAAATAAATTTTAAACATAAGAGGCTCAAGGCAGGTACCAGAAGTTCATACTTGTAGGTAAACCTAGCTGCTTTGGAGGCTGAGTTTGGGTCAATTGCGGTTCAGGGCCAAGCCTGGGCAGAAAAGTTCACAGGACCCCTTTCTCAACTCACAGCTAGGTATACTGGTGTGCCTCTGTCATCCCAAACTACATAGAGGCTGAAATTGGGAAAATTACAGTTCCAGACCAACCAGGGCTGAAGAGTACTCGAGACTCCATCTCCACAAAAAACAAAACAACAACTACAAAAAAACCTGGATGTCCACCTGTGAATCCAGCAACTACAAGAAACCTAAAATTGGCAGGTAGTAGTCCAGGTGCTCTCCTAGAGGGAGATGAGATCCTAGCCTAAGCATAACCAGTGAAAAGGGACTGGAGGTGTGTCTCTGCAGTAGAACTCCTGCCTAGCAAATAGCAAGCACAAAGACTGAGTTCCAATTTCCCAGGACTGTGAGAAAAAAAAAGAAACTGTTTTGCTGTATACATTATGTGTATATACATACATATATAACTGTTTACTGTATATTATATACTATTTGATTTTTAGTCTCAGGTGTGCATTTTAAATACTCGGCATTTTCTCATATGTCCCCTACACCCTAAAAGCTTAAATACAGTTATGTTCACTTAAGGATTAGCAGAATACAAATTGAACAGAAGTTATGAACCAATGTTCTAGGAAGGCGATGCTCAAGGCTGAAACTGTTGTTATGCAGGACTTGGGAGCTACCTGGTTACATTTAGGAGACCTGTGAGCCATGAGCCAACTCCTAGGTGCCTAGATCTCTGTGTCTGTGCTTTATTTCACATAAAAAAGAAAACATCTAGATAAATCATGCAACAAACCCCAAAAGGGTTAGCTGAAACTTACACCTAGGTTTTCTAGTCCCCAACTTTTGCACATCTGGTTTCTCCAATTTCTGATTCTTTGTGAAATCTTTTTGTACAGGAGGTTTAACCCAATATCCATCCACCACAGGACTGTTGTTATTTCATCTCTTTATGTCTTCAAGAACAAGTGGTTCTGTTTGTAGGCTGCACATCTACAGACTCAACCAACCAAGGATAGAGAATATTTTAGGGAAAATTATATCTCTCCTGAACATGTAGAGACTTTTTCCCTTGTCATTATTCCCTTAACAATGCAGAACAACAACACTATTCCCAAAGCATCCACAATGCATGAAGTATTTTAGGTTATCTAGAGATTGTTTAAAGCAAACAAGAGGATATGCCTAACTTACATGCAAAAAACTCCCTTCATTTTATATAAGGGACTTTAAAATCCAGCCTGTGGAATTCACAAGGTGGGGTGGGGAATTGGTCCTGAACCAATTCCTCAAGAATACTGAGGCACAGTGGCACTCTGACTTGGGATTATAGCTACATCCTAGTTTTATTGAAAACAGTGACAGAGCTTTTTGTTTTCTATTCCCTTTGCTTTGGGGGTGATTTTGAGATAAAGCAAAGAAATATCTTCACCCTGCATCCTGGTCTCTGCCTTATAATCATGGTAATATTATAATGCATGGTAAGACTATAAGATATTTGACTTCCTCTATCTTCTAAATTCTTTGCAATGAATATGTATAATTTTAAAAAATAAGAAAGCACAGCCAGGAGCCAGTGGCTTATGCCTTTAATCTTAGCTACTCAGGAGGCTGAGGTCTGAGGACTGTAGTTTAAAGCCAACCCTGGCAGGAAAAATTCATGAGACTCTAAAGTCAAATCAACCAGCAAAAAACTGGAAGTAGAGCTGTGGTTCAAGTGGTAGTGCACCAGCTCTAAGTGAAAAAAACTGAAGAAAAATGCTTAGGCCTTGAGTTCAAGCCTCAGTACTGCTACACACAGGCACACACACTCCCACACATCCCTACACACATTATTTAAGTACAAAAAAGTCCAAGAAGGCCTGGAGCTTCCATTCCCACATGTTGTCTACCCTCACTAAGCCATCTGCACGGAGGAAGCCTCCTCCCTTTCCATACATACTCTCTGACGCACCATACCCTCCTTGTCAGGAGAGCAGTTTTAGGGTCCTCAGCTCTGGGCTAGAGCTAGTCAACAGTCCTCACCATGCCTGCTCCTGTGTGTGCAGTGTGGCACCTTCTGTGCATTCTGAATGTTGTACCTCCAAAGCCACACATTTTTTATAAAAAGAGAAGTGTCAGGGGAGGTGTTGAGAAACCAAGGATTTCATTCTGGTAATACCATTACCTGGGATTCCCCACGACCACTTGCCTTAGACCTGTCCACTCCTTCCACTTAGACATAACCAATGATCTTCAAGAGGTTGAGGCAGATACCCTGTGTGTCCTGGAACACTCTTGAACTTCATTGGCTCCATGAGGCTCAAGGGAATCTGAGACTCCAGGATTTAAAACGCCTCACTGGCCTCCATGAGCTCTAGACTTGAGGAGCTGATGGGAACCAATCAGGAATCCCACACTACAAATATTCACATTTGAGCTCTGATTGGACTCTACCTTGGCCTAGGGACACTGACATTTTAGTTGTCTCAAGTGCCAAGATTCCAGGCCGGTTCTGTTCCTCCTTCTCCTCCTCCCTTCCATGCATCTTCAGGTTTCAATTACTTCTTCCACTCCTCAAGATCCTCTTCTTCCTCTACCACTCAGATCATACAGGCCTTATAGCCTAACTACAATTAAACTCTGCTGGGAATCTTACAAAAATTGATCCGCCCAATTATATTAGGAAATTGCTCTCTCAGTTTAACATGTCCATCAATCTTGTCTAAAATGGCAGCATTGATTTCATGGGCTGAAGCTTTGAGGTTATTTTTATTTAATTCAGCAGAAACCACATTAGGCCTCCCCCACCTCACACGTTCACTCATTTTTCAATCTGGGTTTTATTAAACAGCATCCAAAATATCTCATAAATTACTCTCATCAATACTCTTCTGCTACATTCTTCCGTCTTCACCCTAAAGTTGTTGCCAAGACCCACTGCTCTGGAAACAGGTACAAATCTCTCCTGTTGTGTTGCTGTTGGTATATCTTGGGTCTCCACTTACAAATCTGTTTATCCCCAACTTTTCTGAAAAGGGACTAGGGCAAAATGTGTATACATGCATATAAACCCACACATGGGATGAAATCCTCTATTAAAGTCAGACTCAACTTGGATCATTTCCTCCACCTTGAGAAACCATCTGTTACCCCAGGGTATTGCTCAGATGGACTACATTGTGCCAAGAGGGGCCCACACACATATGCACCAAGACAGTTACATTCGGAGACTGGATATCATCTTTAATTAATAATGCCACAGCTTAACATCCTTTCTGTTGCTGCAGCAGATGGTGTGTGTGTGTGTGTGTGTGTGTGTGTGTGTGTGTGTGTGTGTGTGTGTGTGTGTTTGTGTCTTCCTGAATAGATGAGGGGCCAGCAAAAACTCCCAGTCAGGTCTCAGCCAACAACTCTGGTGAGCAGCAACTGGAATAGAGTCTCCATTGAGAAATGGAGGCCAGACTCTGCCTCCTAGGGTCTTAGCCTTCCTTCCTCTTGGGTTACCTTTCAAGCATTTGGAGCATGAGGCTAATGTTTGTTCCAGGCCAGATTAAAGGGCTTCTTGGCAAAGATGAGTCTTATCTCCAGTTCCCAATTCTCATTTCCTCTGACCAGAGGAAAATCCTTGGGTGACATACAGATTACTAGGAAGAGGTGGACAATCTGGACCCGCATTGGTCCCCTGTGCCACATGGCTCAGCACCACAATGGTCCATCCCTGGGCAGAGGTCCAGAGTTACTGAGCCGTTTATTTAGTTCCATCAGAGACGAGCTGGATCCATCTCAGGCCTTTCTTGGGGTCAGCCAGAGGGGGGGATTTGGCTGATGATGCCCCTGGAAGTCATTTCCAACCTCAATCTAAGAGGCTGCCCTCCTGCCAACTCTATTCTCCAATTCTTCACAGGCCCAGAAAGTCCACAGCTCAGATGTGGCAGGGGAGGGTGAGCCTGATGGTGGGTCACAACGAGGCCATGAGAGACCTGGGCTGAGCTGGGTCCACAGCCATATGCCAGCCTGAAGTCAGTCCTCTCCCCCATGGTCACCAACAGCCAGAGCTCTCTGACGCTGATGGGATCTCCACAGGCCAGGCAACAAGTTTTTGGCCCAGTACAGAGGGAGAAAACCAAAGTGACTGTCCGATCTCCACTGCTCTGTGCCTTGGAAAGGCAAGGAGCCCAAGTCCCAGGATGGTAGGATCAGCTGTTGGGGAAGCACCGCTGTCCAGGTGAGGCCTCGGACCGAAAGCTGGGCTTGTTCAGCGGGCTGGGGTAGTAGGTGGTCGTGTATACATTGGTCTGCTGCAGTGGGTAGAAGTTGGCTCTGTCATCAGGAATCAGGTTATTCTTATTCAGGGTCTGTTTGAGGAAGAAGGAACCAGAGAGAAAGGAATGAAGGGAGAGATAGGAAAGGGGGTTAAGCCTAGCCAGCTTGTGAAGGAACATTCCAGATGCCATTCCATTATGCCACGACTCTTCACCCTGCTCTGTGCTAATGTAAGAGGATTCCCACCTTGAACTCCATGGGTGTGTACTTCTCATTCTTAGGGGTGCCTCCGCCCTTATAGTGCAGATGGTTGGGGGTGGCAGGATGGACAATGGTGGACTCCTGGGACTGGCGCTGGCAGTGATGGCAAGACAGGTACACTGCCAAGGTCAGGAGTCCAGAGCCGAGGAAGCAGGAGACGCCTGTGGCCACCAGGTGGATAAGATTGAACCCTGGAAGACAACAGATGTCTGGTAACAAAGAGCCACTGTGAAGAAGGTAGGTTCTCGACTGCCTCCTTGGGAACACAGACAGCAAGAGGAGAGTCTGGGACATGAAGAAAAGACAGGGCTCTGGGCCAGCCAAAAGAAACAGGGAAGGCAGGCAGTCTGTCACAAAGGCCTCTCTCACAGGACAGCCTGTGGCTTGAGTCAGAGGTAGCAATCTTAGATACAGACTGCTGATGGCTTAGCTGGAGGACGTGGATAGAATTGCCAAGATCTCCTTGCACACAGCCCAAAGCAGGTGAAGACCCCTACCTCCCACCAAGGTTTGGCTGCCTGAAGCTAAGTGAGAAGAATCCAGACATGGGAGTGGGTGGAGAAACGGTAGAAGGACAGTCTCAGGAGTGGCTCTTTTTACCTGCACAGCTGGTGGCCTCTTCCATGCTGGAGGCAGGCAGGATGACTGCAGGAAGACAAGTGGATTGAGTGTTAGGATAGCATGGAGAGGGAACAGCTCTCTGCTGGGCTGCTGTGGGTCAAGCAGTGAGTTGCATGTGGGTCTGGGGCCTTTCCTCTTCTATGTCTACTGGCAGACCCTCTTTTATGAGGGGCCCTTCCTCCATGAAGAACAGCCCTTTCATGAGGTAGGGCCCCAAAGTCCTAAGTGTGTGCCAGGGATAAAGGTGTGGCTTTTGTCTGTCATTCTGCACTAGGACCCTAGCCCCAGGGACACAAGTTTCCAGAAGGGAAGGATACTAAAGGCAGAGCACATTGGTGAGCAGCTACTAACATAAGAACCTACCTGGAATCTCACTGTATGGGCAGGGGCGGCTCTGGCTGCTGTTGCCAGCACAGGCCCCGGGTCCTGGGACCAGCTCTTCACAGTGCCGGCTCCGGCTTTGGGTTCCATCCTCAGTGCAGACACCCCACTCAGACCACGGTGACCAGCCTTCTGTGGGTGGGAGGTGGAATGAGGTGGAGTGCCTCAGGCTCTCTCCTAGGGACCAGAGGCTCCACGATGCTCCCCGGCCCTAATGGACGCACTCAGTACCTGGGCAGGCCTGTGTGGCACATAATGCTTCCTCCGTGTGCAGCCCCAGACAGATGTCCTCACCTGGGGAGGGCGCCGGGCTGGTGCAGGAACGAGTGCGTTGATAGTGGCCCCCACCGCAGGAGGCTGAGCACTGGGACCACGCGGTCCAGCAGGACCAAGCACCCCGCACTGCAAGTGGATGGCATGAGGAGGGCCCCCATCTCCACTCAACAGACCACAAGAAGGGAGGGTCCCCAGGGGAAGCCAGGGAAATACAGGCAGCAACTGAGACCAGGAGGGAGAGGAACTGAGAAACCAAATTCTTTCTTTAACCCACTAGGGGAAAGAAAACAGTGAGGCAGGCTTAAGAAATGGCCACCAGAGTAGCCACGTCCTCCACGGTCAGGGTAAGGAACTGCTCTGGCCAGCCAGGCTCTGGTGGCTCACGCCTGTAATCCTGACTACTGGGGAGGCCAAGATTTGAGGATGGAGGCTCTCAAGGCAGTGCGGGCAGGGAGGGGAGGTCCTGGGGCCAGGCCTGTGCGCCCCTGGGGCACAGGGTTACCTGGGCAGGCCTGGGGGTTGCAGTCCTGGTAGTCAGCGGCATCGCCCACACAGGGCAAACCCCCGTTTCGGGGCTCGGGGTTGGTGCACGTTCTCTTGCGGACGCGGAAGCCCAGTTCGCAGTCCCGGGAGCAGGCCGACCAGGGACCCCAGGCGGCCCAGCCTCCGCTCAGCGTGTGCGGGGAGGTGTTCCCGCTGCGCAGGAGATCCTCCACCAGACCTGGGGAGGTGGGCGGGAGCGGTGGAGCTCAGCGATGGGTGGGTGGGGGGCCCAGGAGGCCCATCCCGCCCCGGGTGGGGGTCTCACCTGGGGATCCCGCGCCACCCCTCACCCCCTCCCTCGCTTCCCACCCGCGCCCCCAGGCCCGCAGCGCAGGCAGTCAGGGAGGGAGGGTCCTGCGCGGTACCATCGGTGTCGCAGGCTCCGGAGCCATCGGGCGGGCAGGTTCGGGTCTCGGTCCTCCTCTTTCCAAACTGCAGGCCGTGGGGGTCGGGCAGGGGCGCGCGGCAGGTGAAGCGGAAGCGCTGCTCCTGCCGCGCGCCGCCCCGCGTCACGTTCACCGGCAGCCACGGGGTCCAGGGCGTGTTGCGCCGCACCTCGGGGCAGCCCTCGGGGTTGCACGTCTTGAACTCCTTGGGGGGGGGGTGTGGGGTGGGGGTGTCAGAGCCCCAGAGCCTGCAGACCTGCCCCTGCCCGCGGGGGAGGTCTCCACACTCCCCCACCCCCACGACCCCCCTCCCCCCTCCCGGGACCCTCACCACGCCGCAGCCCGGGCACGAGTTGCCATTCTCACACGCCCGACGCCGCGATTGCACGCCACCCCCACAGTTGCTGCTGCATTTGCTCCAGGAACCCCACGTGGCCCAGAAGATGGGCACGGGGCAAGGCGTGTTCTCATTGCAGAACCTGGGGGGGGGGGGGAAGGGCAGGAGCGTCACTCTAGGGAGGGGTAGATCCCTGGGGGGGGGGGGCGGTCACAGGGTCAGCTGGTCCAGCAAGGACAAGTCACCTGGGTCACCCTGAGAATTCACTTCGAGGAGGTTCTGGAAGTCTGGGACCCCCCCCCCCCCACCGCACCACACACACACGCACACACGCACGCTCGCACGCACGCTCGCACACGCACAGCCACGCGCTAGCTCACCGCTCCTCCCTGCTCTTGCCCACGCAGATGCGGCCCCCGTGGCGGGGCACAGGGTTACTGCAGCTTCGCTGGCGGACCTGGAAGCCAATCCCACAGGATGTACTGCACTGTGCCCACGATGACCACGAGGTCCACGCCCCATTCCTGGTGGGGTGGGAGGGGACGGAGACACAGATGCCCCTCTGAGCCCTAGCTCCTTAGATCTGGTCTGCATCTGGGCAGATGGCTTTTTGTATTGTTTTCAGGAAGGAGCAGATAGTGACAGAAAAGAGCAGCTCCTAACCAGGTCATCATCTCAACCATACTTGGGATTCATCCGTTTGTTCATTCATGCCTCGAATCTGTACTGAGAGCCTCTTCCATACATCAGGCTGTGTCCAGGGCAAAGAACACACTCTTTAGATGAGGAGGGTCTGGGCACCTTGCCAACTTGCCACCTGTCTTTTCCCTCTTTTTCATTAGCCAGTACTTAACATGCAACCTTGAACTGGCACGTGCAAATGCTACTCTCTCTTGTCCACTTTGTCTCAAGGGATCAGAATTGGGCTCTATAACTTACTAGAATACTTATCTTTAAGACAAATGACTGCATTCCTACCCCTTGAGGTGGTTGTGAGCGTTACATTAGGGAACATATATGACATCAAAGATGCTTTAAAAGTATGGGTTGGTTGCTATGACCATTGAGCAGTATGCAACATTCTGCACACCTACCTCCTTTCATCTCAATCACTCTCTGGTCGGTATTATAATCCACACTTAGAGAAATGCAGAATGGGTAGGTGCTGGCCAAGGTCATGCTTGTAGGCCAAGGTCATGCTTGTAGGACCGCCACCATCCCATGCTGAACCTCAAGTCTGGACAACCAGGCTGATTGTAGCTAGTCATTGGAAGAGATTACCATGCCTGCTTAACCTTTCTTCTTTGCATCAGTGCATTGCATCCATGGCCTGTGAGGCAGAAACTTCTCTCCCCCTTGTGTGAAAACTCTCCTAGAGTACATGTTTCCTGCCTTAGACATCAGTCACTTGTCTAGTCCCCAGCACTTCCCAGGGGCAGTTTTCTATTCCTCAATTTAAACACCTGGGTGGGGATGCCCTATTTCTCCAATTCTCCCTCTACACCCTAGAAACACACCCATCCAAGCCCTGTCCTCACCTACCTGGAGCAGTTGGCGATGTGGATGGCTGGCCCCAGGCACTCCAGGCCCCCACAGCGGGGCCGGGGAGAGTCACAGGATCGGGCTCGGCATAGACAAGAGCCTGAGTTGTCTCCATCTAAGTGCTCACATGGTTGCCATGATGACCATGGGCCAAAGCCTCCATCCTGAGTCACATTCCGAACCTGCAGGCCCACATACAGGGAAAGGCCTCTGTCATATGGGGCAGGGACGGGGTAGAAAGAGACCCAGAGGGCGACTTGGGGAATTATACTAGGATTGAAGGGAAGGGCTGAAGAGGAAAGGGACATGAAGGGTTTCTCACAGGACAGGCTGTGATGTTCTGGGTCCAGAGGCTCATGTTGGTACTGTCCTCAAGCGTGCTGCAACGCTGCTGCTTCCCATCCCAGCCGCAGTATGGGTCTCGTGCCTCTAGGCATGTCCTGCCAAGATGGAGGTCCTGAGACTTAACCAAGCCCATTGGCTTACCAGTCTCAGCTTCATCTCAACAACATACCTGAACATACCCCTCCAGGTACCCCTTCCCATCCAGTTGCCCCCCCCATAACATGCTGTGTGTCCAGTATCATTTTAAGCACTTTACAAGCATGAATTAATGAATGTAGCATCCAGTGAAGTGTGTGCATCATCATCTCCAGATTTATAGAGGAAACCAAAGAGCTACCAAGGTCTATAAACCCTCCAGAAACTGTAACTTAACCAAGAGACTGACCTGCTTTCCCCGAGAATGAGCACTTCACAGTCCTTATACAGGGCCACAGGAAATATGGGCCACAGAAAAATTCAAAGAGCTCCTGATTGTCAGATTCTCTGATTACAGATGGAGAACACCTTAAAAGTGGTTCTCAGCTTGGTGCTGGTGGCTCATGCCTGTAATCCTAGTACTCAGGAGGCTGAGATCTGACAATCATGGTCTGAAGCCAGCCCAGGCTGAAAAGTCTATGAGACTCTTACCTCCAGTTACACACACACACACACACACACACACACACACACACACACACACACACACACACACACACACACACACACAGAAGTGGAACACAGTGGTAGAGCACTAGCCTTGATCACAAAAGTTTAGGGACAGTGCCTAGACCTAAAGACCTGTGACTGACACCAAAAAATGGGGGAGGGGGGAGAATTCTTGACTTTGGCTCACATGAGAATCACCAGAAAAGCCTTTAAATATCCTTATACCTGAGCCCACCTGGACAAGAATGGTAGGGTGATTTTTAAAACTCTGGGTGATTCAAAAGGGAGCCAAGGTGAGAGTCACTGGTATTTGTAACGCAGGATTTTTATTGTATAAAGGAGAGGAGAGACTAGTTTTCCTCTGAGATCACACAAACTGTACTAGGTAGAGCTGGGGCCAGACCTAAACTTCTCTCACCATCTGCCTTACAGCTGGAGTCATATCTAACTTCACATCCTAAGTGAATGTGGGCTCATCCTGAAAAACCCAGGTCAGATGCGAGGCTTGGGTACAGTGCAAGGTACACAGTGCGAGCTGTTCAGTAGGAAAAAAAAGCAGAGTCCAGTGCCTTGGTAGCATATGAATAAGCTCAGCTGCCAGAAGAAGGTCACATCCCAGGTCCCCCGTTTCCTGATCTCACAGTTGGTTTCTCTATAGTGGCCAACAAAAGATAATGGTTCACACATCAATGCATGCCCCAGACGCCCTCACTTCTCATGTTCCAGGATTCCTTTCTTCCTTCACTTTTTTGATTTAATCATATAATGTGTCCTTTACATTTTGAAATAAGAAATATTAATTTCCCCTAGCAGGACTTTAAGACAGACTATTGTGGGGATTATGGAGTTAAGATTGGCTGTCCCTTGTTAAATAAAGAAGGGTATCCAACCTGGAGATGGAACAAGGGACATTCCAACCCCTAGAGAAACCACTGCCCATCCCACAGGATGCCTGATCTCTTTACTCCTTCCTTCAGCTTTCCCCTCCGTGACCTGATCTCCTGGACAGGATATAGAAAGCAAGGGGGCAGGTGTGAAAATACACCTGAGAAGGTAATCTGGATTGAAAAGAAGGTAGGGGTGACCATTAGGAGAGTCCATGTCATTAAGTAACCATGCTGAGGGATTTTCCCCTGGCCAAAGGGGCCTAAGATGCTGGCAGATATGGGGATAGAGACAAGAGCCCCAGGTTTAGCTTTGCATGGCTCCAGGATGGATGCTGTCTTTTCTCTTGAGACTTCAAGATAGTCTCCTGTCAGATGAGTTCTTTATTTTCAGTATGCTCAACAGGTTATGGGCCCTAGAGATAAAAGAATTTCAGTGAGAAGCCTTATGATGTCTTGAAGGGGCTGAAGAAAATAATATTGTCCTCTGTTCTAGGCTAACTCATGATCTTTTTTCCTCTACCTCTTGCTCCACCACCCATCCCTTGTTGCTTTTAGTTTGTGTTTCAGATAGGGTCTCTCATTGAACTAACTTTGCCAAGGCTGGCCTCAAACCATAATCCTCCTGCCTCTGCCTCCTGCTGGGCACCACATATGAGGCATGGAACCACCATTGAAGGCTTCTTTTTGAGGTAGAATCTAGCTAAGTTTTCCCCTCCCCTGATGCTAGCCTGGAATAGTGATCCTCCTATGTCTGCCTTTTGAGTGGCTGGGATTGAAGGCATGTGCCACTGAGTAGCTTAGACCAATGATCTTATATAAGTGAAGTGATGCTTGGCACCCTTAGTGAAACTCAATAACAACACTCTGGTCTACCAAGGGATCCAAAACACCTGTTGCTGTTTCTACATTACTCACTCAAAGGACAATCTGCGTGAGCCATACAATGAAAGTGTGCTTCCATTTTCCTCCGGGGTTAATAGTTTGATCCAATGGTGTTTCAACAGCAGAAGCTATCAAAGCAGACATCATGGGGCTCAATATAATCCATGTGCACAGAAGTTCCAGCCAGCATGGCTTTGAGATTCTGCTGAACAGCAGATGTTTAGACCAAGAAGACTGCTATGATATTCAACTGAGCAGAAATCAAAGCCCATACCTGAGTTTATTTCTCCCTACCCTCCAAAAAGGGACATCAAACTTAAGAGGCAACTGATAGGGTTATTGATAAACACAGTAAATTCACTAGGCAAGAAAGAATTAGCCATGACTTCTAATGGATAATAATAAGAGATACGACTACCTACCAAAAACAAGTACCAGCCAGTAAATAGTTAAGGACAGAAAATTTGCCTCTGCTTCTTTTTTTTTTTTTTTTTTTTTTTGGTCCAGTCACGGGGCCTGAACTCTGGGCCTGGGCGCTGTCCCTCAGCTCTTCAGCTCAAGGCTAGTGCTCTACCACTTGAGCCACATCGCCACTTCCGGCTTTTTTTCTTTTTGCTTATGTGGTGCTGAGGAATCGAACCCAGGGCCTCAGGCATGCAAGGCAAGCACTCTACCACTGAGCCACCTTCCCAGCCCCTTGCTTCTGCTTCTATAAGACTAAAGCAGAAAAAAAAAAAGATTCTGGAGGAAGCCAGGGTGCTTTGTGCTACTTACTCCTCAGGGCCTAACTAGTTCTAGAGAAGTTGTTCCCAGTCTTCACTGCAAATCTGGGCACCTTTCAAAACTCTTAAGCTAACAGAACAAACAGCTTACCTACCTCTGGGCCTTTGGGGACTAGAAGAGGCGCAGACACTAGAACTTGTAAACAGTACCCCACCCTCATGCTCCGTGACTCCAGTGATGAGCCACAGTTGGGAACTGCTGTTCCAGGGCCACTTTTGTCAGGAACCCGAGCCAAGTGACAAAATGCCTTGTTTTTCCAATCAGTGAGAGAATAGGAAAAGAAGCAAGGAAGAGTGGAGGCTGGCCCCAGCCTCCCCTTTAAGGCCCTCTCATTCTCTCCAGTGTCGTTTAAGCCCCAAAGAAGGAAGAGGAGATCGGATTCTCCTGCCCTGCTGCTCCTGCCCCTGTCTCTGCCCCTCTCAGCCCGAGGTGCCTTTGAGACGCACTATAGTGCCTATGCTTTCTTGCTGTTACCAACTAAAGGGGATCACTGTTATCCTGGTTCAAGTGGATCACCCCCTCATCTGCCAAAAGGTGCTTCAAAGATAACAGAACAGGGGAACACACTTAAGAAAATGAAAGCTCCAGGCTGAAGAGAGTTACAGTTTGCTTTTGACTATAGAAGCTGGAGTTCTTTTCATAAAAGGAGCCATCCGGACAAGAATAAATCACCATTTTTTTTTAACTGTATTGTCTCAAGCAGCCATTACAAAAGTGAACAGGTTTATCCCATGGGCTTGCAGGTGGAATGGAGATGGATGGTAGAGATGTGAGCAGACAGATTCCAGCTCCCTGCAGTGACCACCTCACCATAGGAGCTATCCAGTACGGAAAGGCCATCCTGGTGCTTGAGAGCAAATGGTGATTACTTAACCCTGAGGAAGTACCAAGGGCTTGACTGAGAGGAGATGCTAAATGAGCATGGACCTTTCTGCTCTTTCAGGACAAGCAAGAGGACCTGTGAATGAGCTGATGTTCAGGACACCCTCTGAACGACAGGGCAGAAGGCCTGCTGGACAGATAAATGAGATGATTCATGCACTGAGCAACTGCTTCATGGAACCCAACAATGGTTCGTTCTCTTGGCTGTTCCTCATGTGTGCCCTGCTTGTCTTTGGCCAGACCAGAGTCTTGGCTGTGCCCTGTAATGCTGAGATTTGCCTGAGTGGAAGAAGACAGCTGGAAGTAACTCCCTGATCAGAAGAGGAAGCCTAATGGCTGCTCTCTGCTCACCCACCCTCCTCCTCATGCCAGCTTTGGCGAGGATGAAGACATATGCATGAAATGTCTCTCTCAGGACACAATAATACCCCGTGGCACACATCTCACAATAGTACAAATTCTTATATATTATGATTGGCAGTTAGCTTTCAGACACCTGGAATGAATGCTGGCTGCACATACCTGCTTGTGTCATTTTATTAACCTTGTAATAATGTGACTTTGCATTTTTATAAATTTTAGATCCACCTGGCAAGGATTTCATTATCCATTCCAAGCTCCTATCCCAAACTCATGAAACAAGAAAGGACAAAAGTGTCAGAATACAACCAACTTCCTGACACCTTACTCCATGGTAGGTGTGCACTGGACACAATACCAACCTCCTTGTCCCCTCTGCAGAACTGTGTTGGGAGTCAGCTGCCCACATCAAGACTGCTAGCCACTGTCCAACCGGTCATAGTAAAACACCATTCCATGCAGCCTGAGACTTCATCCACTGCTTCACAAGCACTTTTGCACCCACAGCCACAGAATTAAAGTCAAATTCTTCTCTTAGCTTTCTTAGCTGGCCTTCCATCTATTTTCCAAGCCCATTCCCTATGCCATGCCAACTATGATGGTGCACACCTGTAATTCCAGCAGTGAGGAGACTGAGGTAAGAGGATTGCAAGATTGAGGCCAGCCTGGGCTCCATAGCAAGACCTTGTCACGAAAAATAAAAATAGAAATATCCAGCCATTCCCCAGACCTCTTCTTTACTAACCTCCTTCTGAGCCAAATAATTAGTCAACTGAAAGATTGGTCCTGTGCGGCAGACCACTTTGTACTTTGAGCTGGGTAAGACTCCCTGGTGGGGTATAAATAATCTTGGGCCACTGGGTTTGCCTTTAAGGATTTATGACATCTTTGAGAACAAGGCATATGTGAAATGTTTAATAACAACACAAATGTTAAAGAAGAACACAAGAGATGAGGGAAAAGCTGTCAGCAGCCACTAGCCCCATGATTCATTGCCAGGCAGTGCTATCTGCATTCAACATCACAGATCCTGAGACTCCACAGAACCCAGGAGGCTGGGCTGCTCCTAAATGTGATTGGAGATTTAAAAAAAAAAAAAAAAAGGAATAAAGACACTAGCTACTGCTTATGATTTGCTAGACTAGGCATGTCACAAATACCATCCTCAGTCCTTACAAACTCTGCCTAAATTCAACATCATTTGTTCCACCAATTTCCCCCTATTTTTCTGTTAAGAGAACTGAAGCTCAAAAAGGTTAATATGCTCAAGATAATACAGCTAGGGGGATGATGGAATGGAGATGGATCCCAAGGTATGCTTACTTCCAGTACATGAATCCTTCCCACTATACATATTGGTCTCTCTCCACATGGTAGCTACAGGTTACCAGACATCCAAGCTCTGTGGCTGGTTCATCTTGCCTCCTTTTACATCAACAACCCTGCAAAAGTGCCCTGAACATAGTAGGGCTTTGTAAATATTGTTTCATTGGCAGAACCATGAGTCCAGGCTGATGGATGTTTAAGTGTCTGCCCTTTGCCCTGCCCTGCCTCGGCTGCCGTACTACCTCCATGCAGCCTCCATCCAGCCCTCCTCCCTGCCCAGCTCCCAGCACACTGGCTAAAGAACAACCCTTGGCAGAGTGGGTAACATTTGTCTCTCAGATCTCTCAGACAGATGGCACAGCCAGGAGTCTCTGTGGCAAAGACTGCAGAAGTCTGTGTGGCTGTGACTGTGCCAGCTTTTGATGATCATGAGGACAGGATGCAGCCTGGGCAACCTCAAGGGCTAGGAATCTGGAATACAGCTTTGCTTCCCCTGCCCCCTAAATACTGGTGTCACTGGTGCCAAACTGGTGACTCCATTTGACCGTGTGGTATGGATTCTTTATCTCAGAAGCAATGTGAAGCCAGTGCACTTCCTCCACGTGGCTTTGCCACCCAGATTTCTTTGCCTCTAAAAAGAGACAAAAGTTTAGAGCTGACTCAAAGCACACCTGGGCAACAAGGGCTTGCTGTGTCAAAGACAAGGACTTCTCCCTAACGCAGGGAGCAGAGTCAATCAAATAAGCTAGAAACGGCTGACAGGCGTGAACCACGGGATTGCCACCACCACGATGCCCCCCAACCGGGGCCGTGGAAAGTGCTGCAGGTTAAGACATTCGGCGAGGAGGAACCCACGTTTCCGAGAGGTTAAGTGACTTGTCCAAAGGCATGCAACTGCAGGCTGTGCAGGGATACCACCCCGGATGGCCCTGACTCCAAAGCTGCGTCACACCTCCAGGTGTGACTGGCAGGACGCACCTGCCAATCACGGGCGGGCCACGCCCTCGGTGCCGGCCCGGGTGGCTTACCCCTGGCTGCGGTAGGCGGCGCACCTCTCCAGCGGGACGCGCAGGACGCCGTCGCTGAGCCCCACGAAGAGCGCACGCGCGCTGTGCAGGATGCGCAGGCTGCGCAGGGGCTCGCGGCGCGCGGGCGGCAGCACGTGCAGCTCCTCCAGGTAGCAGCCGCGGAGGTGGCGGCTGGCGGTGGACAGCGCCTTTAGGATAGTGCCGGATTCTAGGGGTGGGGTGGTGGAGTGGCGGGGAAGGGGGAGCACACAGAAGGTGGTCTTGAACCCGTGGAACCTCGAAGCCCCGCTCTGCCCCACCCGGCAATCGCCTCCCCACCTGCAGCCCAGGGCGGGCCGGGGCGGGCTCACCCGTGCCGATGTAGAGCACGTGGTAGAGCGTGTCCTTGGCCTGCACCAGGTCCACCACCAGGTGTGAGAAGCGCACGCTGTCCTGCGTGACGCACGGCTCGGGGGTCACCGGCTGCACGGCCTCGCTCATCAGGAACAGGCGCTGCGCATCCTGCAGACTGCGCTCCGTCAGGTTCTCGTTGGGGCCGGTCTCGGGCAGGGTGCCGCACTGCCGCGGGCGGGTGGGGGGAGCGGGTCACCCAGCGCCTCCCGTGTGCCCACTTCCACCACGCCGCATCTGCTGCCCTCCCCTCCCACCCGCTGGCCTGGATGGGGTGGGGGGATGCCAATTCTCCAACACCCTCTCCCCCCTACCCCCAACATCCCTGCCTGGTCCCCTGAAGCCTTTCCCTGGGAAAGGATGGCCCTTCTTTGGAAGTGGGACATACAGGAGGAACATGGGGAACAGAGATCTGCCAAGGCTGGGAAAGAAGCAGCAGAAGAGAAGAGGTCTGGACTATCTCCAGTTGAGGATGAACAGTGCCTGTAATCAGTCAATCCTTCTCTCCCTCCCTCCTTTCTTCCCTGCCTCTCCCTCTGCCTTTTCTTCCTTCCTTCCTTCCTTCCTTCCTTCCTTCCTTCCTTCCTTCCTTCCTTCCTTCCTTCCTTCTTCCCCTCTTTCTTTCTTTCTCTTTTTCTTTCTTTGTCTTGTGCTGATACTGGGGCTTGAATTTGGGGTCTCCAGCTTTCACTTGACTTTTTCACTCAATGTTGGCACTCATCACTTGAGCCATACCTCCAATTCCACCTGGTTAACTGGAGATAAGAGTCTGGTGGACATTCCTGCCCAGGCGGGCTTTGAAGCTCAACCCTCAGATCTCAGCCTCCCGAGTAGCTAGGATTATAGGCATGAGCCTATAATCACCTTGGACTAATCTCTATTTTCTCTCTCCTGTATCTCTACCACTTCAAAGTTTTTATGTCTCCTAATCCAAAACTGTAAGGCAATCAACCACTTTTTATTGTGCACCTAGGACATTCTAAGCATATCAATCTTCGTACATATGTATGCAATATTATCTGTTTGGTATTTCCTTATCTGTTCCAGATAAGGAAAAAGAGACTCAAGGAGATTGGGTGACCTGCCACATTCGCACAAAGTCAGGCTAGATGTATATCAGGATTGCTGGACTGCAAAGCCTTTCACAGCTCCAGACTACTAGTGCACCCAGAGACCTTCTAGGCATTCATGCCCATGCTGGACACACTGTGAGGAAACCTTGGCTAAAACTCCTAAATTCTGGCCAGAACTTGCTTATGTACTGCTCCCCTGGTTCCCTAAACTTCATAGAACTGAGGTTCAAACTCTCCACCCTTCTAGAGATAGCTCAGAGCTGGTGGACTAGCTCTCTCACCCAGTATCCCCTCTCACTCATACTCTGAGAGATTATCACACTCTCAAGGACCCAGAAATTAGGCCTGAGAGCAGCAGGCTAGGCCTGATATTCATCTGTGTTGAGCAGTGGGGGATCCGTTTGTGGCTGGTAATGAGGGATGAGGGACAGAGGAAGAGAAGCTATACCTGGAAATTGGGGATGGGGTTGGCGATGGGGAGCCAGGTGGCCCTGGGATTCTCCTGGTAACGAAATGGGCCGTTGAAAGCCTGGGAGATGGCACTGAGGTTGAAGGCGCAGACAGCTGAAGCAGCAATGCTATTTCTGAAAGGTAAAAGGTGGTGGTGGGTGTCTGCTCTCCCTGGGGTTCGACTCCTTCCTCTGACACCCGCTAACAGGCCTACCCTTCAATGTAAGATCTCCAGGAAGGAGATCCCCAGCCTGTGTTTTCCAGGGCAGTCAAGTGGGATGAGGTGGCAGGTTTGCCAGAACAGCCTGCTGGCTTCATTCAAGAGTCATGAAGTACTGAGTTGGGACAGGACTACAGAGAATCCCCGAGCCTCTCAGAGGTGCTGCTGTGGGCCTCTTCCAGGGCCACTACCCCTTCATGCAAGGCACACTGCTTCCCATTAATAGAATCATAACCCATTCCAGAATTGTAAGCCCCCCAGTACAGGAGGCATAGCAATGCAGATATGAAGAAACAAGGGCTCACCAGGCTGCAAAGTCAAGCTAGCAGAAGCTCTGCCATGGCAGGAAAGGGCAAGGAATGACAGAGGGCCTGGACTCACACGTTGGTGGTAAAGACACCATAGATGAGGTCCTGCTCAGGCAGGTGGAAGGCACTCTGCAGCTCATTGTAGTAGAAAGGGACCTCGCCGGGGCGGGAGCAGTTGAGTCGAGCCTTCATGAAAGTGGTCCATGTGTCCTCCAGCAGGAAGCGGCCTCCCACATCATTCTTGCACACGCGGGCCACCCGAGAGTACACAGTGCGCCCACAGTCATGCTCCACCGCATTCTCCCGCAGGAAGAAGTATGCAAACAGCCCGATGTCATAGGCTGCCACAAAGTTTGGCTCTTGAGATGGAGATGCAGAAGGGGAGCAAGGTGTGTGTCAGGCCAGCAGGGAAGAAAAAAGGACAGTCAGGAGGATTTGACTCATTCAGTTCTCAAATGTACATCCTACCGCCCCCAACTTGGCAGCCCAGGGGCTTTAATCTTGTTCCCGCCTCCACTACTAAGTGCAGCAATAATAATTCATACATACCCATTACTCACTATGTACCAGATGTAATCATAAGTCTTGAACCCCCACTTAATTCTCACTACAATGTATGAGATATGCGCTAGGACTGACACCACATTACAGATGAGAACATCACAGCCCAGAGAGATTTAAGTGCTTACTCAAGGCCACAGAACTAGTTAGTGATGAGTAGGGGATTCTCCAAAGGGGGAGGGAGGGAGAGGCAGAGCATAATTTCTTTCCCCTAACCACTTTTTCTAACCAATCTCTATCTCATTTCCCCCAAATATCCTGTCCTTCATATGTCCTGGACATCTGTAATTTCATCTGGGGCCCACCCAACATGCTCCGGTCTTTCAACAGACATCTGCCCTACCTTGGCCTCTTTCGTGACTAAACAAGCCTGAGCCCCATATATACATGGAGCAGGAATGAACACTGGCGGGGGTCAGAAGGAGGGGAGAACCATCTCGGGCTGTGCCAACTTACCATTGAGCCACTTGGAGTTATACTGGGCAGTGCGGAGTGGTGGCCCACTGCCCAGGCTACGATAGATGGCAGGGTCCCGACCTGAGAAGTCGATGACCGTAGCTGCATAAAGCTCCCCTTGGGAGGAGATGACAGCTGTGGAGTTGTGTCTCGGGTCGTAGGGACAGCGAGCCACACCATTGATCTTCTCGATGGTCCGGCTGAGGTTCCCCACCTGTGCATGATGGGAGAAGGGAATGCTTTTCCATGCCTTTTTCACCCCAGAGTTGTTTCCTCCTTCCCCCCGCCCCCAGAATCCTCCCCACTGCCCACACACAAAGGGAATTGCCATCATGGAGGAGGAAGTCCTGTACCAACAGATGGACCCTCAAAGCAGACTAATAAAATATAGAGGGCCCCCAAACTCAAATTCCAGATGGAAAATAGTGTTGTTGTTGTTTTTTAAAAAAATAAGTATGCCTCAAATATTTCATGGACACACTTATATTAAGATACCATTTATTGGCTGGACACTGGCGGCTCATGCTTATACTCCTACTCAGAAGGCTCAGATCTGAGGATCAGGGTTTGAAGCCAGCCCAGGAAGGAAAATCTGTGACTCTTATCCCTAATTAACCAGCAAAAAACCAGAAGTGGTAGTATAGCTTAGAGTAAAGTGCCAACCTTGGCCAAAAAAGTCAACCAGGAGCGTGAGACCCCTAGTTGAAGCCCCAGTACCAACACACACACACAAACACACACACACACACACACACACAAACACACACACACACACAGATACCATTAATTGTTCACCTGGAATTCAGAGCTAACTGGTCATACTTTTTGTTTTTGTTTTTTCGGTCCCACTCCAACAGGCAAGAGACCTCCTCTTATGTCCTCTCTAGCTTACCTGCCTTTTTGCCCACTCACCTGTCTGCTGGAGCACACTGGGGAAAAGGCATTGGTGCCACACATAAACACCTTCCGGCCGGCGACAATCAACACTCGCACATAGTTCTGACACTCTTCCTGAGGAGGAAGAAAAGAGGAGGCGGGGAAAGAACAGAGAAAGAAAGAGAGAGGGAGACTCTGCAGGTAAAGTGCTGGAGTCTTTCCCCTACAACTCCATGCTAATGTCCTACAACACCCCTTTGCGGATCTGTGGTGGGGGTGTCTCTGTTCCTCCCTCATCTAGGCCATGCCACTGGGGTAGGTGACCTCACACTCCCCTATCCCACAAACCTAGTGCGAGCTGCAACAGGGCCCCCAGGACAGCAAGGACACATACCTCAGTCTTCCCTTTGCTCTGGCACGAGCGACGCGTGTCCTCATTGGAGGCCCACTCTGTGGCCTGTGGGAGAAACATAGACATCACATTGCTTTTTCCTGACACTCCCCTCTAAGACAGGACGTGGTTGGCTTCTGGAGTGGATGGGATGCTGAGAGGTAGTAGCAGAAGACTGCGGAGTGTGGTTTCTGCTTACTACATCAGAGGACCAGGAAGGCCTGCCAGATGCCCTCACCCCAGAGACTTTTAACAAGAAGATGCTCTTTCAGTCCAGTGCTTTGGCATCTCTGCTTGGGGCCAGAGGCCCAGAGTGCCCACTCTTATAAGCTCCATCATCCCACACAGCTGCCTTAAGAGAGCTGCAGGTGGCCAAGAAAGTCCTTTTATACTACCCCAGATTCTTTGGTGGGGGCCAGGAAATGTGTTGACATTAAAGTCAGGTGTCCTTCATATGAGTGCCCAGTGGGGAAGAGTGTCTCTAAAGGTTATATTTTTTAAAACCTTAGAAATAGGAGATTTAGGCCAGGTGCCAGTGGTTCATGACTGTGATCATAGTTATGTGGGAGTCTGAGACCAAGATGATTGTGGTTGGAGACCAGCATGGTCAGAAAACTGCACAAGACCCCATCTCAATCCATAGTGGTATGTGTCTGTCATTCCAAGGTAGGTGGGAGGATGAGATTGGGAGGATCAGGGTTCTAGGCCAGCCTAGGCAGAAAAGTCCTGGACAGTCCATCTCCATAGATGGACTAGATGCAATGGTGCTGGCCTGTGAACCCCATGACAATGGGTAGACTCAAGTAGGCAGATGCTCAGGTGTATACCTGTTCAGGAAGTGAGACCTTATCCTAAAATAATCAGTAAAAACACACTAGCATGGCCTAGCTAGTGTGAGGCCCTGAGTTCAAACCTAATTACTGCCACAAAAGAAAAAATGAAACGAATTTGGGAAATTTAATTTTCCCACTACAACCTTGCCAAGTATTGTTTCTCTCCTCTTCTTAATCTCTGAAGAAACTAGGCTTGAGTGGTCATCATGCAGATGGTTCATGGGAGAGCCAGGGCAATGGCTACATGATTTTATTCTTCACTCTGCTGCCCCGGGGGGTGAGGACTTCCCTTTCCTCAATAACTTCCCTTCCCATGGCATCTCTGCTTCCCCTGAAGCGTCTGAGGCTGTCAGTATAGTTTTGGGGATGCAACTTGTCTGTGCCCAGGACATTAGGAGATGACTGTTTGCCATCCAGGTTCCCTGTCCCTTCAGTCTATTCTCTCTTTACCTTCTGAGTAGCTCTGAAGAGAAGCAATGTCTTATCTAAGCAATGTCAACAGCCCTGCTGTGGCTCATTCTGTATGTCTGGGTCACATACATAACTATGAGTCTTTAACCTGTTCTGGAGACAAAGCCTGGAGCAAGCAGTTCTCCCAGCCACACCTGTTTTGAATTTCTAACAAAGCTGCTCCCAGCTGTGCAGATGCTGCCAGCATAGGGTAGAGGGAAGCTGGCCCCTGCTATCTCTGGGTTCAGGAGCTGCAGAATAGCTTTGGTCAAACCTCCCTTGAGTGGACTAGGTTCGTCCTGCCCTGCTAGCTTGGCACTCAAGACCCTGCTTCTCAGCCTTAGAGAAAGGAAGATCAGGTTTCCTCTGATTGGAAATGACTCAGAACAGCTCAGAAATGGGACTAGGAAGATATCTCAGTGGTAGAGTGCTTGCCTTGCATGCAGGAGGCCCTGAGCTCGATTCCTTAGCACCACATAAGCAGGAAAAGCTAGAAGTAGTGCTGTAGCTCAAGTGGTAGAGCGCTAGCCTTGAGCTGAATAGCTGAAAGACAGTGCCAAGGCCCAGAGTTCAGGCTCCACGACTGACAAAAAAAGAAAAAAGAAAAAGGAAAAAGAAAAGAAAAGAACTGCTCAGAAATGACTGAATACTGTCATACCCATGAGAGGGAATCTATTAAGAATCCTCATAACCTCTGGGGGCAACAAAGAGCAATGACTCTGTCCTTTCTCACCCCTTGGCCTCCTTGGGATCCCTGAGCACAGGGACACATTGAAGGGCAGCTGTTCCTGAAGGGACAGGAATCCCATGGGAGCAGCATGTTGCACACTAAGAAAGTCACATTGAGTGCAACAATAAGACTGGCATAGTGCCAGGGACCAGAGACAAGTTCTTTCTTTAATTCTTGAAACAGCCAGTAAAACATACAGCCTTCTTCTCTGTTTAAAGATGAGGAATCAGCAGAACACCACTGGCTCACCCCTATAAGCATAGCTACTTAGAAGGCTGAGATCTGAGGATTATGGTTCAAAGATATATGGCAGGAAAGTCCATGAGACTCTTATCTCCAATTAACCCCCCCCCCCAAAAGCCAGATGTGAAGCTGTGGCTCAAGTGCTGGAGTGGTAGCCTTGAGCTAAAAAGCTAACAAACAGCACCTAGGCCTTGAGTTGAAGACCCAGGACTGGCGCGCGCACACACACACACACACACACACACACACACACACTAATAATAGAAGATAAAGTTTATTGCTGGGCACCAGTGTCTCTTGCCTCTAATCCCATCTACTCAGGTAGCTGAGATATGAGGATCTCGGTTCTAAGCTAGCCCAAGCAGGTTATTTTAATTGGCTAGACCAGTTAATTGGTTATCTCCAATTAACCACCAAAAAGCCAGAAGTAGAGATGTAGCTCAAGTGGTAGAGTGCCAACCATGAGCAAAAAAAAGCTCAGGGACAGGCCCTAAACCTGAGTTCAAGCCCCAGGACTGGTACTACACACACACACACACACACACACACACACACACACACACACACACACACACACACACACACACACACACGCACGCATGCATACATGCATGCATGCATACACACATGAATGAATACATAAAGTTAAGGAATCTAAGCCCAGAGAGACTAAGCAATTGCCCAGGGTTACTCACCTAATAAACAACAACCCTAGAGGCAAACCCAGACCACTAACAAGAGCGCTGAACAGCTCTTTCTGCAGCATCTTGCAGCCTGTCACAGTGAACAGATTCCCTGAACAACAATTAACACCATATGGCCCCCCAAAGAGTATGGGTGTTTGTAATGATAACAGCACAGAATGGGCTTTTGGGAGTCATTTTATTTGAAAACTTATTTTTGTCATGGTAATGATGCACAGAGTTTTTTCAAAATATATGAAAAAACAAAACCAAAAAAGCTAGAAACCTATTCTTTTTATAACCTAACCCCTTTCCTTTGGACAACGACTTCCACCTCTTTTAGCTGTTTTTCAGTTTCCTTTTAATCCAATGTCCCAAAACTAGGCGCCCATCTCAGACCTCATCTGAGTCCTTATCAGAGAGATGAAGATTTTCCCCATGTGCTGCTCTTCATTGAACAAGTCTAAAGAACACTCACGTCTCCCTTTTTCCTATCCTCCTATTATAATAATCTCATATTTTTAACTAAAGTCAACATCAGTATCTACATGATTGTAAATATGCAAAAATTGTTTACCGCTACAAGCTAGTACCCCAGATTTCACTGAATGTAAGTTACCATCAAGTTGTAATATGAGCCACAAAGAAAGAAAAGATGCTGTCAATTTTTTATCTAAGTTTTTGATGTAAAGTTATTGAAAGTGCTCTTATTTGGACATATTTTTATGACACACAGGTAGTTCTTGTAAATTAACAAGGTAAACAAAATTAAGTATCATTAACCTTCCTTAAATTAAGTGTTCATCTTCTCAGGAACATTTTCCTATTCAGAGCCATCAGTGCCAGCTTTTGTTATTGTCTTTATGTTTGTTTGCTGGTTTATTTAGAATATCTCTTTTTTAATTTCCCAAGTGTCAGACAGGCAGGATTTTTCTTCTTTTTTTCATATTTTTGTGCCAGGTGAGGGGTGTTTGAACTCAGGGCCTGGGCACTGTCCTTGAGCTTCTTTTGCTTCTTTTGCTCAAAGCTAGTGCTCCAGACTTGATCTATAGTTCCATTTCCTTTTTTTAAAAGTAGTTTACTGAAGATAAGAGTCTTACAGACTTGCGGGGGAGGGGGGAGGCTGGGAAGGGAGGTGAAGGGTAAACAAAGGAGGAGGCTGCAATGCTTGGTAAGAAATGTATGCATTTTCCTGCCCATGTAATTGTAACCCCTCTGTACAGTATGTTTTCAAATAAAATAAAATAAAATAAAAAAAAAAAAAGAGTCTTACAGACTTTCCTGCCTAGGCTGGCTTCAAGCAGTAATCCTGAGATCTCAGCCTACTGAGTAGGTAGGTTTACAAGTCTGAGTTACTAGCACCTGGCAGGCAGGATTCTTAGAGTGATCCACTCTAGTCTCTAGGACTTTCTTCCAAGCTACTGATCCCACTCTTCAACTTTGGATACAGGAACTTTGATCTCACCTGAATATTCCCACAGAAGGTGTTCTGACAAACTAGAATTCTTGTTCCTTCTTTATATGACTACATATGACTATAAGGTCAAGGGGTTGCTGTAGTCCACTCAGAACAATAGGATTAACCACTAACATCACACCTGACCCAACCATGACAACTTCAACAGGACCAAAGTTGGATCAATAGTGGCTGGAAGATGTTTCCAATAGTACATTATCTGATTTCAGATTCATTAACATGTGCAAATAAGGCTGGGTGATGGTGACTCATGCCTGTAATCCTAGCTACTTACGAGGCTGAGATATGAGGATCACAGTTCAAAGCCACTGGGCCAGGAAAGTCTGTGAGACTCTTACCTTCAATAAGTTACTCAGAAAAAGCTGGAAGTAGTGCTGTGGCTCCAGTGGTAGAGAGCTAGCCATGAGCACAAAGAGGCTCAGGGACAGTGTTCAGGCCCTGAGTTCAAGTCCCAGGACCAGCAAAAAAAAAAAAAATGTGTAAATGGTCATCCGAGAATCATCAAAATTCATATAATCTTGGGAGATTTCCTTTCTTGGAAAACTTTCTTTTTTTTCTTGTTACTAACAATTGTCTTGCTTTTTTTATTTGTGTGTTTTGTGTGTACCCATCACTGATTCTTTCTGAATGTCATAAAGATCTTACAAATC